GGCAGTGAGCGGGTGTGTCTCGCGCGCCTCCCTCTGCTCTCTACGCTAAAGCACCCCTTTCGTCGCAACGACCTTAGGACAGGAGCTTCGTGACCTCGTCCATCTCCTCGGGCGGCGTCGCGGGCGGCTTGTCCTCGTCGCTGCCGCTGAACTCCTCCTCGAAGTCCTTGTCGGGGTTGTTGGGGTTGTGGGCCCGCAGGTAGTCGGCGACGAAGCTCAGCGCGTTGAAGCCGTACTCGTACTTGAACGGCGGGTCCTGCTCAAAGTCCTCGTCGTCGTCCTCGTCGTAGTCCTCGTCCTCCTCGTCCTCCTCGGACCCGTCGTCCCGCGTGTAGTCGTCGTAGGGCAGGTGCAGCGGCCCCCGCCCGTAGGGCGGCTTGTCGATGCCGCGCTCCTTGGCCTCGATGAGCAGCGCCTCGAGGGCGCCGTGGATGAGGTCGTCGAGTTGTTTCAACTCCGCCGTCTGGGGGCCCACGGCGATCATGGACTCGTCGACCTTCGGCGGCGCCGGCGCCGCGTCCTCCGCCGGCGGCGCCTCGGGCAGGGGCTCCGTGGGACTCCGTGGGGAGGGTTGGGGGCTGGCCATCGCGTCGAAACGCGCGCGTTAAGCAACCGTGCAAGTTGAAGAACGCATCTTTAGCCTAGACGGCGCCGCGGTCCATGCGGAGGAACGCGCCGGCCCACTCCGCGGCGACGTCGCCGGCGCGGTGGGCGTCGGGGTACTTGGCCCGGATCTCGTCGACGGCGCGCGCGTGGACGTCGTCGTCCGTGGCGAGGGCCACCGCGAGGCGCACGTAGTCCGCCGCGTCGCGCGCGACGAAGTCCGTCAGGTTCATCTGGCCGTAGATGGACATGGCGTGGCGGCCGCGCTCCAGGGGGCCCGGGAGCACGACGAGGGGCACGCCGTTGGAGAGCGCGTCGAGGGCCGTGAGGCAGCCGCCGTAGGGGTACGTGTCGAGCGCGACGCGCGCGTTCGACAGCGCGTTCACGTAGTTCCAGTAGTCGACGACGCGCAGCCGCTCCAGGAGGTGCGCGCGGTTCCGGGCGCCCGCGCTCGCCCGCAGGCGCCGGAACATCAACGACGTGAGCTGGCGCTGCGGCTCGGAGACGACGGCGACGACGCCCGTCGGGTCCGCCTCGAGGACGTCCAATAAGATGTCGTCGAAGAGCGCGTGGACCTTGAAGAGCCGCCCCAGAATCAAATACAAGGCGCCGCCGGGGTCCCGCTCGAGCAGGTCGCCCCGGGGCTGCCGCTCGAGGGCCTTGATCTGGAACGGCGCCGTGTTCACCCACGACGCGCGCACCAGTTGCTCCGCGTAGTGGTCCGAAGCCCCGTCGACCTCCGTGTCCAATCCCAGAAAGTAGTCGACGCTCGCGAGCCCCGTCGTCACCGGGTGGCCCCACCAGACGACCTGGACGCGCGCGAGGCGCGAGAACGCGAGGAAGTAGCTCGTGATCTCCATGCCCACGTCCGGGTAGAGCAGCACGTCGACGCCCAGGTCGAGGACGGCGCCGCGCGCGCCGGCGAGGGTCGCCGGCAATACGAGCGACCGGTCCGCGCCGAGGTGGGCCTCGAGGAACTGGCGCACGTGGTCGCCGGGCCGCGCGGCGTGCCCGTTCTCCAGGTGCAGCGCGAAGACCTGCAGCCGCGCGTCCTGGTTCAAAAAGAAGAGCACCTCGGCGAGCATCTTGCCGATGCTGTGGTCGCAGAGGTAGGCCGAGACGAAGGCGACGCGCGTCGCCGCGGCGGGCCGCCGCCGCGCGAGCTCCGGCGAGGCTTCGACGAGCGACGGCGCGACCTTCGCGAGGAGCGCCGCGAGCAACTTCTGCTCCTCGACCTCGGGCTCGCACTGGTGCGCGAGGTAGAAGAGCGTGCGGCCGATGCGCTGGAGGAACAGGTCCTCGCGCACCGGCGAAAAGTCCGCCGCGGCCAGAATCTCCAGGTCTCCTCGGAGCCGGGCCCGCGCCGCCGCGAGCTCCGCCGATCGGGGGACGATGGGCGGCAGGAGCATGGCCGCGTTCAGGCGGCTCGCCGTCGCCATGGCGCCGTAGTCCCGGAAGTCGTTTTCGCGGCCGTCGAGCCGCGCGCCCTCGCTCAGGACCGCCGCGCGCGCGGCCGCGCGGCCGTAGACGCGCGCGGCCGCGTCGAGCTCGCCCCAGGCGCCGGCGATCGTCGCGACGTGGAGGTCGACCATGCAGGCGCGGCCCGGGTCCAGGGCCGCGAGGCCCAGCTCGAGGGACCGGAGCAGCGCGGCCGTCGCGTGCTCGTAGTGCTCGTCCTCGGAGAAGAGCTCCCCGAGCGTCGCCCAGGCCCGCGGGGGCACGTCGCCGCCGTCGACGTCCCAGATGGGCAGGTCCGCCGGCGTGACGTCGATGGACGCGTAGGCGCGCGCGAGCGGGCACGCGCGGATCGCCGCGTGCGCCTCGCTCGGCGCCTCGCACTCCGAGCTCTCGGGCCGCGGCAGGTCGCCCGCGAGGAGCGCCGCCGCCTCGCGCCGCCGGGTGGCAATCTTCCGGCGCGCGGTGCCGTCGGCGTTGTCGAGCCAGTCGTGGGTTTGGTCTTCGCCGTGCTGGCAGCCGTCCGTCGCGTTCCGGTCGAGCATGCACCGGAAGCGGCGCCGGAGCTCGGCCTCGGCGGCGTCGCCGCGCGCGAGCAGCGCGCGCCGCGCCTCCGCCGCGAGGGACGCGGCCTCGCCGGCGACGCAGACTTGCGTGGATTCGCAGAAGGCGCGCGCCGCCGCCTCGAGCTCGGCGTGCACGAAGTCGACGCAGAACGGCGCCGCGCCGGTCTCGACGCAGACCTCGCGCGAGTCGACGCGGTAGATCGCGTCGCCGGCGGCGCGGAGCGAGAGGAGGACGAGTAGGAGGTGTTTCATCGTCTGAAGGGCTGCCTGCAACGCATCACAGCGGCCATCGTGTGCCGCTCGCCTCTATGTTGAGATCGGCAGCGTTGCCGCAGCTTTGGCCGGTGCTGACACAGACAATACACGCAGAGGCATGGCTCAGCGTCCGACACGACGCGCGCGCGCGGGGTTCCGCGCGCAAACAAGTCTGCAAGCGACACGAGAGCTAGCGCAACGCATCGGCCGCGCTCCCTGCCTTCGCGCGCCGGGCCAAACACGCCACGCGCTCCGAAGACCTGCGCTCACCGCAGGTTCGACCATGAAGTGCTCATATGTCGTCGTCGCGCTCTGCGCCGCGGGCGCCTCGGCGTTCCTGGCGCCCGGCGCCTCCGCCGCGCCGTCCGCGCTCGGAGCGAAGAAGACGGGCTTCGGGACGAACAAATTCACGGAGAAGAAGGTCAAGTCGCCCGCCAAGGTCGAGCGCGAGCGCGCGGCGGGCGCCTACGAGGCCGCGAAGAAGTCGGGCATCCCCGAGTACCGCGTCTACGTCAAGCCCGGCGGCACCGAGGACTGGGCGCCCGTGGGCTGCGTGACCGTGCCGCGGTCCGAGTCCGTGCCGCAGTCCATCTACGGCAACCTCGAGAGCCTCAAATCCGCGACGCTCGCCGCCTACCCGGGCCTGAAGGAGGAGGACAACCTCGACTTCGGCTACAACCTGGCCGTCTTCCCCGACGACCCCGTCAAGCTCGCGAAGCCCGAGGAGGCCGCGGCGACGACGAACCCGTTCCTCAAGTTCGCCAAGGACCTCACGAACCCCATGAACGCCAACGCGGGGAAGTAAGGCGCGTCGGGTGTCGTTGTGTGTGTTACCCGGCCTAGATGTGGTTCAGCGCCCACTGGCGGAGCGTCGTCGGGCAGCCGAGGTCGTCCGTGCGGAGCGCGAGCCAGAGGTCGTCGACGTCGACGGCCGCGGCGAGGCGCACGTGGGCGAAGCGCAGCGCGTGCGTGTCGCGCCGCGGCGCGCCGCGCTCCTGGGCGAGCACGGCGACGTCCTTGTCGACGAGCGCGGCCATCGCGTCGACCAAAACCTCCTCCTCGTACGCGTCCGCGGCGGACGCCTGCGACAACCGCCCGAGCACGTGGATGGCGCTCTCGAGCGTGTAGGGCGCCCCGACGCGCTCGAGCTTGAGGAAGGCCACGAGCAGGGCCTTCTCCGCCGGCGGCATCGCGGACACCGCCGCGCGCCACGCAGCTCCCGAGTTCGGGTCCATGCAACGGAACGCCTCCTCGACCGTCGCCGCGCTCAGCAGCGGCGCGTCCGGCGCGAGGGACGCGCAGGCGCGCGCCATGACGCGCGAGAACCAGCGCAGGCTCCGGCCCGCGGCGACGCCGTCGCGGACGCGGTTCTGGAACTGCGGGGACGTCCGGATCGCCGCCCAGTTCGCCGCGTGGCGCCGCGCGTACGCATCCGCAGATCCGTCGTCGTCGCTCGCAGCATCGGGCGCCGGCGGCGCCGGGTCCCGGGGCCGCTTGCGCCGCCGGGGCGCCGCGGCCGCCGCGCGGAGCGCCGCGCCGTCGACGGCCATGCGGTCGTCCCAGCAGGCCTGGGCAGGAAAAGGGTGCAAAATTCCAAACTTCAAAGGCTCCTATCTCGGTCGTTTTCCGCTCGTTTCGGCTGATTTTTGGACGAGCGATCATCTCTCGGAGCGCTCTCGAAGCGTGGGTGCTGTGTCCGAAACGCGCGCGCGCGGAACACTCACATTGAAGCGACGTTGAATCACCCTTTTCCTGCCCTGCAACACGCGACGACGTCGCACGCGAGCGCCTGCGTGAAGGAGACGTGGTGGTTCTGGAGCCGCGACCGCACGCGCTTCTCGAAGAGCTCGAGGACGCCGTGGTCCGTCGTGACGCCGACGACGACGACGCACCCCAGCCGCGACTGCATCGCGTCCAGTAACGTGTAGAGCAGGGTCTGCCGCGGCTGCAGCGCGAAGGCGTCGAGCTCGCTGAGCACCACCAGCAGCGGCGCGCGCCGCTCCGCGCGCCGCCGCCGGAGCTCGTCGACGACCAACGCCAAATCGTCGACGTAGCGCGACGTCGCGGCCGCGGCCCGCCCGGACTCCGCGGCGAGCTGGTTAACGAGCTCGCGGAGGCCCGTCGCGGCCTCGGCGTGGACGAGGCCGCTGAGCTCCGCGACGTCGTAGCGCGGGAGAGTGCCGTCGGCGTCGAGGCGCGCGAGCGCGCGCGCGAGCGTCGCGTGCTTGCCGCAGCCGCGGTGGCCGCAGAGCACGAGGCTCGTCGACTCGCCCTGGGCCGCGCTCCGCCGCAGGCGCTCGAAGACGGCCTGCTCCTGGGCCCGCACGCCGAAGAGCGCCCGCGACGACGACCCGCCGGCGCTGCCGCGGCCGAAGCGCAGGGGCGGCGCGTCGCAGGTCGCCTCGAGGAAGTGGCGCTGGGCTGGCCGCGCCCAGCGCGCGTCGCCGTCCGGCGCGGCCGCCGCGGGCGAGGTCGTTTGCGCGTCGGGCGACGTTTGCGCGTCGTCTCGCGGCGTCGTCGCTGCTGCCGCGGCTTCGGCCGGCGGCTCGCTGCTCGGCGACGAGCTCGAGGGGCTCTCCATAGCGCGATTACGAATGAGAGCGGTCCTTGCGGCCTCGACGACGAGGCTACGACGTCGCGCGCGCCGCGCGGCGACCGCGATGGCCACGGCCGCGGGCGGAAAAAGGCGGCGCCTCAGGACACGTTCTTCATGATGTTGTCCTGGGGCATGGCCGCGCGGTCCATGGTGGCGCTGGAACCCTGCGTGGCCTTGGACGCGTCCGCCGCGCCGGCGCCCGCGGACGCGTTGCCGAAGGTGATGCCCGTCTTGAGGACCTCGCTGCGCTCCATCTGGCCCGCGCTGCCGATGGTCATCTTCGACATCTCGTTGGAGCCGTCGCCGCTCTGGTCGTTGCCGAAGGTGATGCCGGCCTTGACGACGCCCGTGCGCTCCATCGTCGCGGCCGAGCCCGACGCCAGTTTCGACGCCTCGGACGAGCCGGCGCCGCCGGCGTAGGTGTTGCCCATGGTGATGCCCGACTTGATGACCTCGCTCCGCTCCATCGTCGCCGCGGAGCCCGACGCGAGCTTCGACGCCTCGGACGAGCCCGCGCCGCCGGCGTAGGTGTTGCCCATGGTGATGCCCGACTTGAGCACGTCGTTGCGCTCCATGGTCGCCGACGACCCGGCGCTGAGCTTGGAGGTGGCCGCGCGCGCCTCCTTGAGCTGGTCCTCGGTGAACTCGCGCTTGTTCGCGTCCGCGAGCTTGACGCCGAGCTGGGGCCCGGCGTAGTCCTTGCAGCGCTTCTGGACGACGCTGCCTAAACTGTGGACGCACTGGACGACCTTGCCGATGTCCTGGCCCTTGTAGAGGTCGTTCGTGTCGAAGCAGTCGCTGTCGTGGACGCCGAGCTTCTTGATGCCCCGGATGAAGAGCGAGATGTTCTCCATCTGCTTGAAGGGCATGGCGGACGTCGCGATCTTCTTCACGGACCCCGGCGCGACGCCGTTGAGGAGCTTGCAGAGCACGACGCCGCTCCGCAGCCACTCGTCGAAGGTGCCCTCCATGGGTTCGCCGATGACCGCCTCGATCCAGGCCTCGGCCGCCTCCATCTGCGGCTTCATCTCCTCGAGCTTCGCCGCCATCTGCTTCTTCACCGACGCCTCGAGCGCCATTGTCTCGCGGGAGCGGCGCTTGGCGCTTGGTGCGGCAGTTCCTGCCGGAGAGCAGTGCACCTTCGGCTTTGTTGCAGCCCCAAGTGCATGGCTATGCATGGGCGAGCTTCGACGGCAGCCTCAAACCTGTCTCTCATGAGCGACGATGAGAAGCTCTGCGGGGCTTGTCATGAAGCGTTCGATCGCAGCCATTATAGCTCCAAGCAGTGGAAGGCGAAAACGCAACGCCGCTGCGTGGACTGCGTGAGCGCCGGTCGTCCCATCGGTGCGCCGACGTCGCCGCAGCCAGGCGATGCCCGCGGGACGCTGCGGCAAAGCCTCGCGGGCCTCGCGCTGCCGGATCTTGACAGCAAAATGGAGCGCGAGGCCTTTCCGCCCGACTCGGACCGACGGGATCGGACGCTGGCCATCTGCCGCAACGAGTGCGTCTGGCGGGCGGACGCGCCCGCGGAGGAACACGGTTCGAACGTGACCTTCATCTCTGGTCACGCTCTTGTAGCGGGACGTGACGAGGACGAGACACGGGAGTTCCGACAGGTACCGTTTCGGGAGCTGACACCTCGAGTCGTCGACGTGACGATCGTCGCGAACGCCAACGCCGGTCACGCGACATTCCAGCACTACGCGGGCCTGGCCGTTGGCGAAGATGACATGCGGTTGACCATGCGCCAAAAGGACCTCTTAATCGATCGCGCGCTTCACCTCGCCTTGTGCGACCCTGCGACCCCGTTGTTAGACGATGTCGCCCGAGGCATTCATGAGAAGTTGCTCGTACGCTACGTTGAGAAGAAACTGTGGGCCAATGTGGTACATCTGCACTATCACGCCTTGGCGAGGATGTCGATTCCACGCTGGTCCGACACGCCTCCCTGGCCAACGAACGTAAGATGGTTCGTCGTTGTCAATCGATTCGGAGAGAGCCTCGAGATGCTGGGTCAATTCGAGAACGCGGCGCGGGTCTACGCGGCCGGCGCGTCAATGACCTGGGGACGGGTGCCCGACGGACCAGCGGACGTATACAAACTGTGGCTCAATGCCGCCGTCGCCTACAAGCGTTGCCGGGAATGGCAGCGCGCAGAAGAGTGCCATCTGAACGCCGTCCGCGTGGGGGGCGAAGCGCACTGGTACCATCTTGAAATGTTCTTTAACAACGCCGGGGCGGCTGGTTTCGTGCCACGGGACTTGCTCTATATTTTCGGCGGGCTCCTCGGCATCGTTGATTTTAGGCACCTCCAAGATGACGACGACGACCTCGAGTTTCGAAGCACGAGCCGCCCCATCGTTCGCGCCAACATATCGCCTCGACGCGCCAGACAGGCACTTCTCGGATTGTCACGCTGCGATGACGTCGAAGAGTTCCGCGCTGCGATCATGGCGTGTCGGGCGCCTGGTGACTTTGGCATGTCGGCCCAACCGGAGACGAACCCGGAGTCGCCGCAGCAGCAAGCTGCAGCACAGATGGAGGACCTCCACATCCCAGAAAAAACCATACGGTGGTGCGATTCTTGCGGTCGGCAAAGCGCGGACTTGAACGCGTGCGTTGCATGCAAGAAGGTCTACTACTGCGACCGAACCTGCCAGAAGAGCCACTGGCAGGTCCACCGCGTCGTCTGCCGAGGGAAAACTACTAAGAAGTAATATTGCTACTCCTGGCCTCCTCGAGCTCGAGTAGCCGGTGCTCGAGGCCGGCCTTGTCGAGCGCGGAGTAGAGGACGACGTTGCCGTTGTCCTCGTCGACGACGCGCGCGACGCGGGCCGCCTCGTGTCTGATGAGGTGCGCGAGCTTGCGGTAGCCGTGGTCCGCGGGCTCCGGGAAGTAGTTGGGCGCGTCGGGCCACGCGCGGCCGTAGCGCTTCCGCAGCGAGCCGAGCGCGAGCCCGCCCGGCTGCTCGAGCAGCACGACGGCGAGGCGCGCCTCGAACTCGGCGAGCGCGCCCGGCGCGCTCGCCGACACGGCTTCGTCCGCGAGGAGCCGCCGCACCGTCGCCGCGTCGCGGAGCGGGTTCGCCTGGGCTCCGACGCCCCGCGCGAGGCGCTCGTAGGACCGCCTCGCGCGGTCGAAGGCCGCGGCGTCGCCGCCCCTGTCCGGGTGCGACGCCAGCGCCGCGCTCCGGAACGCGCGCCGCAGCTCCGCGTCGTCCGGGTCGTCGCCGAGGTCCGGCGCGCACGCGCGCAGCGCCGCGAGGTCCGCGGCGCGCGACGGCGCGCACTTCGTCCGGAGCCACGCGGACAGGGCCTCGTGGCCCGTCTCGCGCGCGAGGTCCGCGGCGTAGTTGCCGTGGTCGTCGGGCGAGTCGAGGATGCCCTTGGCCTCGCGGAGCCACTCGCAAAAGTGGGAATGCCCCGAGAACGCGGCCTTGTGCAGCGGCTCGTGGCCCTGGGCGTTGCGCAGGCGCCAGCAGTCGCCGAGCGCCGGCGCGAGCCGCGCCTCGAGCCAGCGCGCGACCTTGAGGTGGAGGCCGGGCACGGCCGCGCGGTCCTTGGGCGCCAGCACGACCCAATGCGCGGCGGTGCAGCCGAAGCCGTTGACGCGCGCGGGGTCCGCGCCGGCGCTTTCCAGGTACTCCAGCACCTCGAGGCGCAGCTGCCAGGCCGCGAGCTGGATGGGCGTCACGTCCGCGTCGGCCCTCGGGTCGACGCGCCCGCCGCAGCGGTCGACGATGCAGCGGCACGCGTCGACGCGCCCGTTGCGCGCCGCGAAGTGGAGCGGCGCGCGGCCGTTGGTCTGCTGCGGCGCGTCGACGGCGCAGAGCCCCTCGTCGACGAGCCAGGCGACGCAGTCGGGGAAGCCGCCGCCCGCGGCCCAGTGCAGCGCCGTGCAGCCGTGCTTGTCGACGGCGCCGGCGACGGCGGCGCGGTCGAAGCTCTGGAGTTTTCCGAGGTCGCCGGCGGTCGCCGCGGCGATGACGTCGCCGTGCCGCGGGGTCACGGCGCGGCGGCCCATGGTGTGTCAGTGCTTGGCAGGGCTCATCGACTCGGTGTCCATGCTGCGGCAAGTCGCCAAGTCGATCTTCATCATTGACACTGAGCATTGCCTCTCGACCCCGGGGAGGCTGCCCCAAACGAGAAGCATGATGCTCATTCGCGCATTCTCGCTCGCAGCAGTCGCGCAAGCGGCGACCTACGTGCTCGACGCGTCGTTTCCGAACTTGACCAACGTCCCCAAAAACATCCTCGCGAACTTCTCCAACGTGCGCTGCGTCGCCTTCGACGGCGCCGACCTCCACGCCGTGCACCTCGGCTCGCCGCCGATCCTCACCTTTGGCATCGACGGCGCGTACAAACGGGCCTGGGGCGCGGGCGCGCTCGTCTTCCCCCACGGCTGCGTGCACCACGCCGGCGAGCTCTGGGTCGCGGACGCCATCAACAACCCGCACCTCGGGTGGTACGGCGATTTCACGGTACGGCGCCTGAGCGTCGCGACGGGCGGGCTGGTCACGAAGCTCGGCAGGAGCGGCCGCGAGGGCTCGGGACGACAGCCTTTCGAGCTCGCGGAGGTCACGGACGTCGCCTGGGGCTTCGGCGCGCTCTTCATCTCCGACGGCGGCGACGGCGACGGCCTGAACGAGCGCGTGGCGAGGCTCGACGGCGCCACCTACGAACCTGTGTGGATCCGCGGCAACAACGGCACCGTCGACCCGTCCGACGACCCCGTGGGCAACTTCTCGCAGCTCCACAGCGTCACGGTCGACGAGTCGCGAGACCGCGTCTGGCTCGCGGACCGCGCCCACAATCGCCTCGTCGCGCTCGACGCGTCGACGGGCGCCTTCGTCGGCGCGTGGCCCTGCGTGGCCGAGGTGAACGGCGCCGGGCCCAACGCCGTCCGCTACGACGGACCGCGGGATCGCGTCGTCGTGTCCGTGGGCAACGGAGGGCCGGAGGCAAAGACAAAGGCCGATTCTTTTATCTTCGCGCTCGACGCCGCCAGCCCGTCCGGCGAGTGCAGCTTCGCCGCACCGCCGGTGAACACGTCGACCACGGACAACGCCCACGAGCTCGCCGTCGACGAGACCACGGGCGACGTCTACGTCGCCTTCGAGAACGACGAGCTCGGCATGCCGCGGCGCTACCGCCTCGCCTAAAGGGACCCTATGGCGGCCGGAGGAGCGCGAGGAGCGCCGCCTCGTCGTAGTCGAAGCGCGCCGTGAGGTTCACGGGAGCGCCGCTCGGGTTGTCGTCGAAGACGGCGGCCGTCTCCGCGAGCTCGAGCGCCCGCGGCAGGCACGCGTAGTCGAGCCAGAAGGGCACGGCGAGGACCGCGGGCCGCGCGCAGAGCGTCGCGGCGAGGTGGGAGAAGCCCGACTTGGACGTGACGACGAGGTCCGCGGCGCAGAGCGCGTCGAACGCGTCGACGGCCTCGCGCGGGCCCACGTCAACGTCGACGCCCGGCAGCGCCGCGCGGAAGTCCGTGCGGTCGCCGTCGATGTCCGGCACGAGGCCGCCGGGCCGCGCGCCCTCGGCGAGGACGACGACGCGCGCGCGGGCCGCGATGTCGCCCGTTTTCAACGTGGCCGCGACGCGGCCGAGCAGGTCCACGAAGGCGACGTTCGGCACGTAGCGCTGGGCGACGAAATCGACGTTCCGGCGGCCGTACTTGAGGTGGTCGCCCCGGCGGATGTGGACGGCGACCGTGAACGCGTCGCCGCGGGGAGCCGCGCGCGGCGCCAGCGCCGCCCGCTCGGCCGCGCGGCCCTCGAACGCCGCGCGGTAGCCGTCGACGTTCAGCCGCTTGTGGAAGGGCGGCGCGGTCTTGAGGCGGAACACGGCGCAGGCCGGCGCCGCCGCGCAGGCGCCCGCGCGGAAGGCGTCGACGCTCGCCGCGAGCGCGGCCTCGGACGCGGCCGCGGGAACCTTTTCGCAGCCCGCGGGCGGCCCCGCGGCGTCAAAGTACGCGCCGAAGAAGTAGGCGTCGACCTTCGTCGCGTTCATGCCGTGGCCCCGCGACGCGAAGCGCGCGGCCAGCGTCAGGCCGAGGCGGCCGGCGACGTGCACGAGGCGATTGAAGGACATGAAGGCGTGGCCCAACCCCTGCTGCTGCGGCGCGCCGGCGAGGAACGTCGCGCACGTGCCGTTGGCGGACCGCAGGCGCGCGGGCCACGCGGACCCGCGCGGGCAGCGCGACTTGCCGTCGACGAGCGCGAGCATGACAATGGGCAGCCATCGCATCGCATTTGTTCAAAAGGTAAACATGGTGTCCTTGATCTTTTGGGCAGCTCAGTTATGGCGCCCTGGGAAACGAGTAATTCGGCCTATGGGAAGGGTGTCGTCGCGCGCCAGGACGTCTCCGACAGCGACGACGACGACGGCGACTTCCTGGGCCTGGAAGCGAAGACGAATTCGAACTGCGGAAGCAGGCAAGAAGCCTTGAAAGCCGTGCGACAGAGCGGCGACGCTTTGCTGAACTTTGGGAGCTTTAAAGGCGACCGGGAAGTCGTCCTGACAGCCGTGCAGACCCACGTCGACGCGCTGCTCTGGGCCGACGCGGCGCTGCGGGAGGATCCCGCGGTCGTCCTCGCGGCCGTGAAAGCGTTCGGCCGCGCGTTGCGATACACGTCGACGCTGCGCGACGATCCCGAAATCGCGCGCGCCGCCGTGCGCGAGGACGGCGACGCGCTACAGTTCTGCAAGAAGCTCAAGGAAGATAAGGCCACGGTCCTCGTCGCCGTCAAGAGCTCCGGCTTCGCATTGCAATACGCCTCCCCGGGCCTCAGGAACGACCGGGACGTCGTCCGCGCGGCCGTGTCGGAGAACGCGCGCGCGATCAAGTGCGCGAGCGCGGAGCTCCAGGCCGAGTTCGGTTAAGATGCTCCCTAGGGCGTCGTCACGGGGTTCTGCACGGCATCTTTCGTCGGATGGGCCGTCTGCGCGCCGAGCGCGGGCTCGACGGGCGCGCGGCGCCGCGTCGCGGCGGCGGCCGCCGCGACGAGCACCACGAGCACAAGGACCACGACACCGACTATCACCGCGAGCTTCACGACGGACGCCTCGTCGTCGTCGTCGTCGTCGCCGACCGGCGCCGGAGCGGACGCCGCGTAGTCGTGGCCATAGACGACGAGCGTCCACGACACGAGGACGCCGTCGTCGTCGCCGTCGTCGTCGTAGTCGTCGCCGTAGTAGTACGAGGACGACGACGCGTTGGTCCCGTTGGGCCCGCTGCCCTCGCGCATGTCGGCCACGCGGAGCGTGAAGTTGCCGTCGTCGAGCCTCTCGCCCCAGTGGCGCAGCGTCGTGAATTTCCAGTCGCTGAACCGCTTGCCGCCCTCGGGCCGCTCCCAGGCGAGCGTCGACGTGACGCCGTTCCGTTCGAGCTCGACGCGCAGGTCGCCGCGGTAGGGGTGCTCGACGGTGAGCAGGACGGCGACGTGCTCGACGACGGCCGTCGCCGACGCGTTGACCGGGCCGAGCTCCGACGACACCCACGTCTCCGTGCCGTTGGCGCAGTCCACAATGGGCGCGCGGACCGCCGTCTTGACCGCGCGCGCGAACTCGCGCGGGTACGGGTCCCAGTCCCCGGCCGCCGCGACGGCCGCGTCCGCGTCGACGAGACCGAAGCCGTACTTGTAGCTGTGTGTCACGCCCGCGGCGTTCGTCGCCCAGTCGTCGTCGTCCGCGTCGACTTGTTTCGACGTGTTGGCGAAGATGCCCTGGACGTCTCTCCACCCTAGCTCCGGGTTCGCCTCGAGCATGAGCGCGACGACGCCGGCGACCAGGGGCGTCGCGAAGGACGTGCCCACGGTGGCGTCGCCGCAGTCGTCCGCGCGGCCCGATGCGACCGGGAACGCCGTGACCATGTTGTGGACGAACTCCTCGTCGCCGCCGGGCGCCGCGATGGTGACGGGCGCGCCCACCGACGAGTAGGACGCGTGCTTCTGGAGCTTGCCGACGGCGCCGACGGAGATCGTGTAGCGCGAGTTGAGGTAGCCCTCGTAGTTGACGTCGTCGCCCGAGCCGTACTCGTTGCCCGCGGCGAAGACGTAGACCTACGAGTACCCGTGACAAGACGAACGCTCCCGTCGCGCCGGGCCGCGCGATGCCCCTGCCGCCCCGGCCGTCGCGCGCGCCGCGCTTCAACGCGTCCGCGGCCGACTCGGAGAGCTGGTTGTAGCCGCACGCGATGAAGTAGCGGTCGAAGTCGAGGCACGCGTCCGCGGCGTCCTCGAAGGACGACTCGCAGTAGCTCACGACGGCGTCCGCGCAGGCGTCGTCTAAAGCGCCCGCGCGCCAGTCGTCGGACCCGCAGGCCGCGCAGGGCTCGGAGCCCGCGGCGAAGGGGCACGCGGCGCCCGCGGACTGCTCGCTGAGCACGCACGCGTCGATGCCCCACGAGTTGCTCGAGACGTCGTTGTCGAACGCGTACAGATAGGAGTCGTCGGCGACCTCGGCGCTGCCGTTGAAGACGTTGCAGCTCGCGAGCGTCGCGTCGGGCGCGACGCCGACGCCGCAGTGGGCGTTCGACGACGCGGCCGCGAGCGCCGCGCAGTGCGTGCCGTGCTCCGAGTCCGCGTCCGCCGGCGCGGAGATGGCGCAGGATTCGCTGGCGGAGACTTTAGCTAAATCGGGGTGGCCATCGTCGACGCCGTCGTCGTTGACCTGAATTCTGACGCCCGCGCCGGTGACGCCGCGCGCCCAGGCCTGCGAAGCGCGTCGGTGACGATGTTTCGTCTCTCAAAACGGACGCTGGCCCAGGCCGCCGGCGCGTTGATCATCTCGAGGTACCAGGCCTCGGCCTCGTAGTAGGGGTCCGGCGCCGCGGCGACGCCGGTTTCGCAGGTCGTCGCGTACGTCGGGCAGGACACGGTCTTGCCCGCGTCGGCGAAGTACGACGGTGGCGGCGCCTCGGACGCGCAGATTTGCTCCGTTTCGCAGAAAACGCAGCCGTCGTCGGCGACGCAACTCTCGCAGGTCAGGTGCGCGGCGCAGGGGTCGCAATCCCAGACGTCGCAGTCGCAGTACTCCGGCGCGTCGCAATACCCATCCGCGCGGTAGGGGCAGCTCTCGGTCGCGTAGGAGCAATTGCCGTAGGCGTAGGAATACGACGAGCCGCGGGCGCCGGCGAGCAGCAGCAGCATCGGGGCTGCTAGCATCGACGAGCCGCGGGCGCTGGCGAGCAGCAGCAGCATCGGGGCTTCTATCAGCGTGGCGGATCGAGCTGCCATCGTATCGAGAACGGAAATTCAACAACTCGGTAAACTTTACCTAGTTGCCGCCTCCGTGGGGCAGCATGAGGAGGCAAAACCCGGCTCAGCCCGGCGTCATGCGCCGCCTCGACGCACATCTTCGAGGCGCCGTGTTCGACCATCTCGAGTTCAGCGATGCGCTGCGCGCGACGGCGACGGACCGTGCCTCGAGGGCGGCTCTGGGCTGCGTCGAGGAGGTCCACAAAATCGGGGCGCGATCCCTCTCCTGTGCGAGTATCGTCTCAAAATTGACTGCTTGTAAATACATGCGCATCCACGCGAGTTCCTCAAGCGATTTGACTCACCTCGTGCTCCCTCTGACCGTCATGAAGGACCTGCGTCGCCTAACGTTCACGTTATTGGACGCGGACATGTCGACCTGGGCGGAGGACTGCGATAGACTCGTCCGCACGGGGGCGCTGCGACAAGCCCGAAATCTCATTCAGTTAAAATTTGCTCGCGCATCTTCTAGAACTGAGTTTATTCGAGCCCTCGACGAAAATGAACTGCGGCATGCGGCGTACAAGTCGTTGTTGTTGCAACTGCCTCTTGACTGCGCTCTACGCGCCTCAGTTTATGGTCACGTCCCCGCAGCTGTTTGCAGAGAATTGATCGCTCGCGGAGCGAACGTGAACTCAGTCGTCAAAGAATGGAGTGTACTCAGAATGGCAGTCGATGCTCAACGAATAGCCGTGATTCGCGCATTGCTGGAAGCTGGTGCAGATCCGAATTACATGCCAGACAATGTAGACTTCACAATTCTTGCAGATGCCATGTTCCGCGAAGAAATGAGTACGGGAGAAGCTGCAGCTGATGTAGTGATGCTCTTACTCGAGTTTGGTGCAAATGCTGGATACGCTTCCCCCAGTGGCTGCAACGCACTCCACATAGCGGCTGAGAATTATTGGAAACAGTCATGGGAAGTTACTCTTACAATCGCGAAGATCCTCCTGAATGAAGACGAGACCCTCGCGAGCGGTTTGTGGACCTCGAATGTAAATAAGACATGCGAGACGCCGCTGGCTACTTTGATGGACTGCCACGCCAGTCCGGACCTACCTCCTGGAGCGGCTGCCTTCGGCAACCTCCTTGCTCGAGCCGAATCCAGGAATCGGTTCAACGAACGCGAGAGGCGCTGACGTTCACGCCGCGCCGCGGTGGAGCTGTGGCGCGCCCAGCCGCGGGCTGAGCGCGCGCGCTTAATGTGGTGCAGCCAAGACCGGCCCCATAAACACGCCCGTCCGACGCTCGAAACAACCACCGAGTCGCGACCGCGGCGCTTACGCGCCCGCCTAGAGCCACACGATCTCCGTGATGAGGGGCGAGTCGAGGAGGGACAGCTCGATGCCGTAGCGCACGTTCTCGGGCCCCGAGAAGTTGATCTCGACGACGTCGTCGCGGCAGGCCACGACCTCGACGGACGCGCCGAGCGCGACGAGCGCGTTGCCGATGGGCTCGAGGATGCGCTCGACCTCGTCGACGGTCAGGAGCCGGTTCTCCGGGTCGTCGTCGCGCGTCACGGAGCCGAGGTCGGCCCAGCGCTCGCGGAGCACGCGCTCGATGCCCATCTTCATCGTCTGCGTGCTCGACGGGCAGGACCCGCACGCGCCCTCGAGATGGAGGATCACGTCCTTCGAGTCCGGGTCCGCGCTGACGACGGCGACGTTGCCGCCGTCGGCGACGAGGTAGGGCCGCACCTGGTCGAGGACCTTGTCCACGTTCTCGAGGGAGAAGTCGAGGGCGGCGCCGGCGCCGGAGGCCTCCGTCGACGACGACTCGAAGGGCGACGCCACCTCGGCGCGGCGCGGCGCGGGGCCGCGGCGCGGCGCCGCGCGTGCTGCATGTCTCGCGACGGGGGCGACGAGGCCGCGCGCGACGGCGACGAGGGCCAGGACGCGCAGGGCTCTGCGCCGCGTTGGAGCCACCATGCTGTAGCACAGCTTCGCAGCGCTGCAACATCAGCGGCACTATCGCTGCAACCAGCGCTGCGCGCGCCCCAGACGCCGCGCGCGCAGCCCATCGGCGCTTTTGCATCCATGAGCACCTTTGACACACCGGTCGAAGCGGTTTGTATAGCGAATTTCGATGGCCCGGAGCTGCTGCTCTGTCAGGACGGCCTCAGCATGAAGAAAGGCGACCTGCTCGTCGTCAAGAACTGGGACGATCCCAATTGGTTCTTCGCGACGACAAACGATGAGAACGTGGACCCTCCGCGGAGCGGCTGGATCCCGGCGAGCCGCGTTCGCGTCGTCGCGGCGCTGCCGGCGGCGCCGAAGCCATCGCCGCCGCCGCCGCCGGCCGCGCCCGCGCCCGCGCCCGTCCCGGCGCCGGCCCCCGCGCCGGCGCCGGAGGCCGCCACGAAGTCGTTCACCACCGGCGACTCGGACTCGGACGACGACGGCTGGGCCGAGCGCCTCATCGCGGCGAACGCCGAGGCGAGCAGTTTTCTCGAGGACGACGGCGCGGCGAGGCAGGCGCTCGCGAGCGGCCAAGTAACGTTGTAGTCAGTGGTCGCGCGCGCACTGGCACGAGAGAGAGAGGGAGCTGGGCCCGCGAAGCGGACCGCGGGCGATCCGCGGGCCTCTCGAGAACGGCGCGGGCGCATGGACTGCTTGAGTACGTTTGAGTACATGGTGAACCTGAGTACTTGGATCACTTCGCACAACAGGGGTCGAGTCTGCAGCTCCGGGGGCCGGCGTTTTGCTGAGGCGCTCTAGACGAGGCGTCAGACGCGTAAAAACCGAGTTTTTTTTTGCCACAACAAATTTTCACGCTTGCTAGTTTCTCGAGACCTATCGGGTCGCTCGGCATTGTCACCGACCCTGACCCACCGCCGCGATCTGAACGACATCCCCGACGCGCCCGACGCCCGCCAGACCGATGCCGAAGGCAAAAGCGATGAAGAAGAAGACCTACGGGGCAAAGCCCAAGGCGACCAAGAAGGTCAAGGCCCCCGCTCCCGCGAAGAAGGCGCCGCCGCCCAAGAAGGTGCGCGCCCGCGTCGTCACAAAATCGCGAGAGCCTCGCGCGACCGACGCGCTTCCTTAGGTCGCGCCGAAGCCGAAGAAGGCGCCCGTCGCGAAGAAGGCGGCGCCGCCGAAAGCGAAGAAGTCGTCCGCCGTCGGGCCCCGCGGGTGGGACGCGTCCGCCGGCGTGCGCCGCAGCGGCCGCGGCTTCGAATCGCAGCTCAGCGCGTCGCCGGCGTCCCCACGCGCGCATTCCTCGCCGACCGGCCGCGCGCGTCCGCTCGAACGCGTCGCTTCGAAGACGCCGCCGGTCCCGCGGTCCCTCGAAACCGCGTCGCCCGCGCGCAGGCGGCATGTCCGCGGCGGATCGCAAGGCTGTGCTCGCCGCGATGGGCTCGGGCTACGACCTCTAGGTCGACCTCGTCGCGCGCGGCGCCTCGCCCGCGCCGCGGCGGCGGCGACGAAGACTCCCCGCGCGCGCGCTGAAAGGTCACGCGCCGTAAGGACAAGACCACGTGCTATAACCACGTGCCTAGAGGCTAGAGCGCCCCTTGCTATCACCGCTGGGACCACCTGTGTTCGGTCTCCTTGGAAGAAAACGAAGAGCCTTACGGCGCCCGCGAATGCGGCGGCCCGCGCGCCGCGTCACTCCTCGTTGTCCTCGTCGGAGCTGACGAGCTCCGCCTCCTGCTTGAGCTGGCCCTCGAGCATCTTGATCTCCTTGCGGAGGATCTGGATGTCCGCGGCGTTCGCCTGGTCGGACCGGCCCGCGCCGTCCTCCTTGTTCTCCTCGAGCTGTTCGAGGCGGTACTTCTTGAGCAGCAGCGTCTGGAACGTGCGCGGCTCCGGGTGCGTCTTCTCCATGTCGATGGTCTTCTCCCACCAGGTGGCGCTCGTCTGCTGCGTGCTCACCATGGTCCGCTGCGTCATGGCGACGGCGACCGGCGCGGGCCCGCCAAGCCGCGCGACACGGGCAGCCCTTCGCGACGCCGCGCGCCGGAATGTCCCGCGAAAGGGCAGCCGGAGAGTCCGCCGCGCTCGGGAGCCGCCCCGCGGACGTCCCACCTCGGAGATGGAGCGCTCAGATGCAGGTTTTGCTCGGATGAGTGTCGATGCTGCCGCAACGGTGCACTCTCCACAACAAACGAGCCGATGACGCTCCAGTGCGCAGCTTGCCCAGCGTACCGAGCACTCTGAGAACCAACACGACGAGCACACCAATTCTCTGACCCATCGCTTCGACGCGCAGCGCGTCTGCACGGGACGACTCGCGTCGTGAGCCGTACGAGGCGACTGATCCTCTTGCAACGCTATGCGGTCTGTCCTCCTGCTCGCCGTGGTTGCGGACTCGCTCTCGGCGCCGCCGCGCAGGCGCCTCGCCGGCTGGCGCGCGCTCCAGCGAAGTGCGCGGCCGCCTGCGACGAGGTCGTCGGCTGCGAGTACTTCTCGACGTCGCCAGCGCCACCTGCCGCCCGCCGCCGCGACCGGCGGCTGCGCCGACGGCGACGACGACGCGGCGGTGCCGCCGCTGCTCCGGGGCCGGTCGCCCGCGGGCGCCGTCGTCGCCGTCGCCTGGCCCTCCGTGGCCATCGGCCTGCTGCGCACGGCCCTGGGCCAGATCGACGCCTGGTACATCGGGCGCCTGGGCTCCGCCGAGCTCCAGGCCGTCGGCGCGGCGTCGTTCGGCGTCTGGATGGTCTATCTGCTCGGCGAGGTCGGCGCGGTCGGCGTCCAGTCGCTGTCGTCCGAGGCCGAGGGCGCCGGCGACCGCCGCGGGGGCGTCGGCGCCGCCGTGACCCAGGGCGCGTACTTCTCGCTCATCGCCGCCGCGCTGGCGTTCGCGCTCGCGGCGGATCCGCTCGTCGCCGCGTACCTCGACTACCTGCGGGTCACGGACCCGGCCGCGCGCGCGGCGGCGTCGTCCTACCTCGTCGCGACGGCGAAGTGGGGCGGCCTGCCGCTCTGCCTCGACGCCGTCGCCTTCGCGGGATTCAAGGGCGTCGGCGAGACGCGCGCCGCGCTGAAGATCGCGGCGATGGCCGTGCTGTTGAACATCGTCCTCAACGGGCCGGCGATCGCGGCCTTCGGCGTCGCCGGCGCGGCCTACGCGACGAACGTCGCCGCGGCCGTCGCGGCCGTCGTCGGTTTCTCGGCGCTCCGGCGCCGCGGCGTCGACTTGGCCTTCCGCGCGACGCCCTCGAAAAAAATGCTCAAGAAGATCGTCGCCATCGGCGCGCCCGTCGGCGCGTCCGGCGCGTTGTTCACCGTGGCCTACGTCCTCATGGGCCGCACGCTCGCGGGCCTGTCGGCGACGGCGCTCGGGGCGCTCGCCGTCGGCCACCGCATCGAGGCCGTCGCGTACACGGTCTGCGAGGGCTACTGCGTCGGCGTCGCCACGGTCGTCGGCCAGTGGCGCGGCGCGGGCCGGCGGGACCGCGGCGCGACGGCGGCGCACGAGGCCGCGCGGCTCGGCGCGCTGTCCATGGTGCCCGTGGCCCTGGGCCTCCACGCGTTCGCGTTCTCCGCCGCGCGCGTCTTCGCGCCGGACGTCGCCGTCGCGTCCATGGCCGCGGACTACCTGAGGGTCGTGAGCTTCTGCGTGCCCTTCATGGCCGTGGACGCCGTCTACGACGGCGCGTGCGTCGGCGCGCAGGACACGCGCCTCGCGTCGATCTGCGGCGTCGTCGCGAACCTGGGGCGGGTGCCCCTCGCCGCGGTGCTCGCGTCGACCCTCGGGCTCGGCGTCACGGGCGTCTGGCTGAGCATCTCCCTCTCGACCATGCTCAAGGCGCCCCTCAAGTGGGCCTGCTTCTCGCGCACGAGTCGTAAGACGTGACGCGTGGTGCCCTACTCGAGCGCGAGCCCCGCGCGCGCCGCGAGGGCCTCGAGCGCCGCGGCGCGGTGGGCCACGGCCGCGGCGAGCAACGCGCCGCCGTAGCCCAGCGCGGCGAGGTGGCTCCGCACGGCGACCTCGCCCAGCGCGAGGAAGGCGTCCCGGGACACGGCCGTCGGCGCGCCGCCGAAGACCGCGACGTAGAGCTCCGCCGTGCTCCGCGCCGTGCAGAAGAGCTCCGCGAGCGCGTCGACGTCGCGCCCGGGCAGCGCCGCGGCGTGCGCGCGCGCGTCGGCGTCGTCGCGCGCGTCGGGCGCCACGGCCGTCGACGCCGACGCGCGCGGCGCGCCGCCGCCGCCCCGGGGAGACGGCGGCGCGCCGGGGAAGGGCTTGTCGTAGAAGTAGATCCAGTTGCGCGCGAAGCCGCAGGTCGGCCGGAACCGCTGGCACGTGCCCCGGCGCCGGCAGAAGTTGTAGAACGCGATATCCCCGTACTGGCTCGCCAACACGCCGGGGCCCGCCGCGGCGAAGAACTCCGCGAAGACGTCCGCGCGGACGGCGTACTGGAAGTACTCCTCGAGCTTCCGGCCGCCGCCGTCGTCCGTCGTCGCCGCGTGTCCCGCGGCGACCGCCGCGTCGACGTCCGCCGCGCCGGCGAGCGGCGCGGCGCCCGCGTAGGCGGGCCGCGCGAGCCACGAGCTCACGACGACCGTGACGTCCGCGCGGCACGCCCTCGCCGCGGCCGCGTAGGCCGCGGACCGCCGCGGGTGCCAGACGTCGTCGTCGTCGCTCAGCACGCACCACGCGTCCGTCTCCGCGCCGACGCGGCGCGCGAGCCGCCCGTAGTGCTCGAACTGTTTCAGGGGCGTTTCCGACGGTAGGACCTCGAGCCATTTCGGCTTCGACGAAGCGGCGCAGGCGACCGCGGCCTCGAGCA